GGGGGGGGGGTTGTGGGAAAGGAATCGTCTGGATTTTGTCTGAAGAGCCACAGTGTAACGTACAACCCTTAGAGACCAACAACAACAGCAGATAAAGACATAAACCTCGTAAATACATTGTTTTGATTCCGGTTTATTTCAGATTTAGTTCTGCTCTAATTGTTGCCTCCATGTGACCCACATATTGTACTGTATCAGTCGCACTCAGCCACACGTCACCCGGTTACATCACGTTGTTCCTGCCCATGACTCGGTCCTGCAGCCCTCTGACACAGCCGGCCCGTGGCAGGAACATAGGTGGCGATGTATGGAGGCCGGTATCGGCCTGGAGGACCGAGGCAGGCTGTCAGGAGGAAGGTCACCGGTTCACAACCCTCGACCGCTGACGTGCCCTTTAGCGAGTCACTTAACCCCCTGATCGCCCCGAGGGAAGCCTTCTGATTCTCCACCCGTAGACGGCCGAGGCTGTGCTGGGAAGCTTCCAGCTCCCTGTGTCAACTTCCTCTTCATGAATACATGTCGAGAACCGTGACGTTGCCACCCCCCCGCAGCTTGTGGCTTTTCCGCCCCCGTCGTATCGGAGTAGAAGGTTGAAGCTTTGAATTTTTTAACTGCCGTAGCAACAGATGTCTGGGATAATGAAGCGATTGCAACGTGTTGTAACTCTTCTTTTGTGGACGGATCTTTGATGCAGGCCTGCCCTGATGTGCCCTCTCCAAAGCTCAATGGACACGTTTGTGCAGCAACAGTTTCTGTTTCTGTTTCAGTCTGTTTCTAAAGCTCACTTAAGAGCATTTATTGTGCTGCCCACATTCTGTTTCTGCAGATTTGCTGCTGTTATCTCTTTGACTAATACGGTTAGTATCCTTCTAAACAACATGTGCCATAAATATCTTTTTGCAGCACTCTTCCATCTCAATGATTTATTGCTAATTTGTATTTATCTTTCTGAGCTGGTAGTGCTGGTTTTGGTCGGTATAACACTTCACATTGTTTCTAAAGGCCTTTACACACAAATTAACTTCATGAAAATGCCAATATCTCCCATTAAAACTATTCATACCGGCAGCAATTTGTTTTCGCAACAGTTGCAACACTTTTTCAATAAAGGTTTTGAAGAGATGGACCAACTAGCAGGATCCTGTACACTCTAGTGTACGTTTGAAACACTTGTTTTCTGTTCTTTGTGAAAGCACTCAGTTAACAAGAAATATATTGATTATGCAAACTAATTGCACAATGTGTGTAAAGGCCTTAAAGGGGCAACTCAATAGAGATGGGTCTCTGCAGAGATGATCCTGAACTGATACTCTAAAAGTGAGCTGAAGTTTTCAGGTTTCTTTTTACAATCTCGATCCAGATGTGCATGAAAACATCTCTCTTTAGACCAGGAGAAGCTTCACAGAGCTTTATCAAGAACGAGTTGCCCAGATGATCCACAGGGACGATCAGACTTTATCAAGTCTGGGGTGCTGTGAGATTCCAGCATCTGTGCCGGCAGACGGTAGAATCGTGGATGTAGCCAGCTGTGCTGGAACACTTTCCTCAGAAGCTTCCTGAGTTCCTTTCTCTCCAGTGTTTGCTTTCATGTCCGTGTTCCTCGAGTCCCGACTGCTGTGAAATGTAAGAGCTCGTCGCTGGTTCCGCCTTAACGTTTCCAGGCGTTCCCCAGGGTTCTGATCTGGGTGCGCTGCAGATTCCCTAATTATCAGCGTTGAATCTTTTCATTGTCCAGAGCCTCTCTGCCTCTGCTCAGCGAGGTGGCAGACACACTCCAGGCCTCTGCTGCCCCGCGAGAGAGCAGAGATTCAGCCTGACATCAGACATGGGAAGGGCAAAAAAGAGAGAAAAGGTCGAGACTTTACCAACCCCGGGGGCAGATAAAGCATGTGTGATCAGCCCACAGCCTGAAGACAACTCCCTCATCGCGCTCGCTCGCCTTTTGAACTTCACCGCAACCGAAGCGAGTCCCACACACCTCTTTATTGTTGGGCTAATTGATGCAGCCAACACCTCTTTACTCTGCGCGCGGTGAAAGCCCAATGACGAGAGCCACTGTACAACATACCGGGGAACGCCTAGTCCTTTCAAGACGCACACTAACGAGGTGATCCACACAGAATCCTGTTATTGAGTCTGTGCCGGTTGAAAGGGAGGAGATGAAGAAGAGCAGAGGAGTCAAACCCTGATTGTGCTGAAGGGCGCTGGAGCCAGATATTAGAGAGATGTTGCCGATGGTTTGTACACTCAGTTCCTGCAGCTCGCTGTAGATGGTTTTCTTCCACTCTCTTCCATCGGTGCATAATTCATAAGCAACTCGCCGCCAAAGCAAAGCCAATTGCATCCACTCTAAACGAGCGTGCGGAGCCCACAGCGGCACAAAAGGAATGTCAGCCTCATGACAGACGATTTCACGTTCTTTTGTTCCGTAACAATGGATGTGACTGGAGGGCGTTCTTCTTCTTCTTCTTCTTCTTTTGCTTCTTCTTCTTCTTCTTCTTCTTCTTCTTCTTCTGCTGCCGCTCTCCCAGGTAGAGGGAATGTAAACAATGCCTGAGAGCTGGTGTCTGTCCTCACGCCCCGCCAGATGCTTCAGCTCTGTAACACCGCCACTGTCGTGTGTGTGTGTGTGTGTGTGTGTGTGTGTGTGTGTGTGTGTGTGTGGTGAGCTATTTTTAAAAGCTGAACCGCAAATAGTAAGAAGGAGGCCTAAAACGGTCCTCTCCTCTGTTGCCATTCCCCGGGCCGCTTCCGCCTTCTCATTCATTCATAAGTTTGCAGAAACACTCTGGGCTTTTTTTTCCTCTCTGCTTTGCCCCCCCCCCTCCTTTTTTAAATTTAAAACGTACCCATCCTGTGTTTCTGATCGGGCATTGTGGCGTATCTCGGAGCACGCTCATTTCACGGTTAGTTAGACGCACGGCTGAATTCGACACGCCTTTTTACACTCTCCATCTCTCTCTGTGTGGCGTGGAATTAGGTCAGAGTTACGTTTAGGTAATAAGGCATAGCGCTGTTACTCGACACCAAAAACCAGATTGTCGTTAAATGCAGAGTCATCGGTGGGAATGTGCCCACTCACACCTGCTTCACGGAGTCAGTAATCTAAGTACTAATTCCAGACTCTCGGGAATCTGAAAGTCATCATAAGAAATCGATGTTTTGTGTGTTTGAATGTAGAATAACTTCCATCCGCCACGCTGACGTTAAAAGAACAACCTGCTTCCTGTGGGCGGGACTGAGCACGAGGTCAGGATGGTCGTTTCATGGAGAAGTGAAAGCTGTGTGGACCCTTAGACTCGGGGCTCCTCTCCTCTCTGATTGGTTGGATTCGGCGTGTCAGCTCGGCACCCGGCTGCCCCAGCCGGGTGCCGTGGGCGACCAGCAGATCAGTGATGTGGCGGTGATGCCTCTAATGAAGCTGACACAGCACAGCCTCCCTCCTCGCGGGCCCCCGAGGGCCTCCTGCTCTACGTGAAGCACTACAACCCCCCCTCCTTACCTCTCCCCCCCAATGTGCTTCCGATTTGATGTTGCCTCCGATGCATTGCTGCATCATTTATTCTCTCGTTGCTTACGAGGGGTCAGAAATCCAGTGTTTGTAGTAGCTAAAGTGGGTCACGGTATACAAACCAAGCTGCTCTCCCCCTTTTCTCTCTCTCTCCACCCTTAGTCTAATGAAGGCCTCTGTGTTGTTGTTTTTTGCAGGAGCTGCCCATTGAGGTGAAGGGGAGGGCCTGAGCTGAGTGTGGATGACCTGCCCACCGGAAACAGGACCATGATCTGAAGAGTGCGCCCCGCACACCGACACTTCTTCCTCTCCTCCTCCTCCTCCCTGTTTCTTTTCTTTTTTAATTTTTCTTTTCGGTGTTCATCTCTGGCGTGATCAGCCTCCCTGCGTGCACGGAGAGGACGACAACTGAAAGAGACGACACGTTTCTCAGGAGGAAAGAAGCACAGCGACGAGCCATCCGTGACCTCTGACCTTGCCACTCCCCCTTGCCCCTCCCGCCGCCACACCGGAAACATGGGGAGGAAAAAGATTCAGATCCAGAGGATCACTGACGAGCGCAACAGACAGGTTAGCAGCAATTACATGAGCCGGCGATGTCTGAATGTATAATAACTTCCTGATTTGAGCCGCATCAGTGATTGGCAACCTGATTAGAGCACCAACAACACGGAGACGGGGGACAAATTACAGCCGAGGAACCCATTAAAGGGAGAGTTCAGATAGTTTGAAGGGTGTGAGGTTGTTTTACTACAGAAGAGAAACAGACAAATCAATGCACTGCTGTGGACGTATTTCAGACACCTCAGATGATTAATATTGGTTTGAGTGAACGCTATTTTTAGAATATGTTCACCTCTTTACGTTGCTGTCAGACAGACCTTCATGGCGAGGAACCGAGGCTGTTATCTATGCTCTCTACACAGACTCCATTCACAGAAACAGTGATGTTACCTCGTAGAACATGGGAGCAGCTGGTCTACCGCAAAACGAGTGAATCAATGGAGCCTTGTAGCTTTGAAGAGCTTTGAAGAGCTAACTATCCAAACTATCCCTTTAACACAACTTTTGATACCAGCCGCAGCACATTCAGTCACTTTCTTACTTAAACTACAGGTTTCATCATGACACCGTCCGTTGTATAAGTAAATATCCCACAATGCATCTCCATCAGATCCAAGAAAGCATCGTTTCCAAACTGGAGCGATAACAAACTCCCACAGGGATCCTCTCTGTTCCCACATGTCCCATGTAGCAGTGCCACGACACAACAACATGATGGCATCGTGTGTTATGAGGCTCGTATGACTTTGCTAAGCGATCGTGGGGTTTTTCAGACCCTCCCCCTCCTCTTCCTCCCTACAGTGAAAAAGAGCAAGGAAGTACAATATCCCCCCCCCCCCCTAAAAACAGCCCCGGTCCCTCCGGTTACATCAGTGGCGTTATCAGAGAGGATGAAAGGGTAAATGATCCATCTGAAATGAGTCAACTGGTAAATGGGCTTCGCTCCATTGAGCAGATTGAGTAATGGACTTGACGTGCCCATCTTCAAAAGCAGAGGGACAGGAAACAAACAAGAAGGGAGAGAGGCAGAGAAACAGGGTGTCTGTCTGAATGAGACCGGAGAGAGAGAGCTGGCCGTGGGCTTCTGGAAAATCATCCTCACTTTTCTCCTCATCAATCTTCACAGGTTGCGTTTCCATAAAGGAGAGCAAGCGGAGCCCGCAGGGCTGTCAGAGGAGGATGACGGTTTGTTATTCATCAAGCACACAATTGGACATAAAGGATGAGGATGAGGATGAGGATGAGGAGGAGGAGGATGAGGAGGAGGAGGATGAGGAGGAGGAGGAGGATGAGGAGGAGGATGAGGATGAGGAGGGGGGGGGGGATGAGGATGAGGAGGGGGATGGGGGGGGGGGGGGGAGGATGAGGATGAGGGGGGTTGCGAGTGTTTCTGGTCGGGCAGGTTTCGGTGAATGGATCCGGCCTTTTGAATCAGATGTGGAGTCAGTTTGTCAATAAGGTGACTCACTCACACTGTGTTGTCATTACCGAACAGCCCAGTGTCTCTAAGAAGCCGATCGGGGTGATGACACCACGAGGCCCACAAGCAGCGTTTCACATTTGGTTCCCTGCTTGTCGGGAGACTTTCTTCCAGAGCAATTTACACCAGAGATGTGATTCTTTTATCAGCGACGCTCAGAACGAGGGCGCTTTGTTTGAAGTGGAACACGGCATTAAGCCAGTGAAGAGATGAAATGCTCTCTACACGCTGGCTTCAGCTAATGAAAGAGGAATACACACATAAATATATTTATATTATATTTTTGTTTTGGAGTACATGCAGCCCGTCACCCTCCTACGTGTTGATTCAGAGATGCTGCCATAAGCTCCACAAAATCAACAGCGTTCAGAGTGTGGGCCCCGGCTGGAAACACGACAGCATCTCCAACGCCACATTTCTGGGGACAAAGGGACACGAGGAAGAACGGAGAACAGGACGGAGAATGTTTGGATTGATATGGAGGATTTCTTAATTTTTGGGGTTGTGTTTGTCACGTTGAGATAACAGAGAAAGGGTTGTATATTCAGTCACAGGGTTTCTTTTTAGTGTCGAGTGAAAGCTGTGCACAGTCCAAAAGTACATCGCATGGAGTTTTTCTGGCGTCAGCACTAAAAGTTCAGCTCGTTTTCTGCAGACGATGTCGGCTGACAGTTGGACAGGCGTGGATGAGCATGAGGCTCTCCTGCTTGAATTATCGAACCGAAGATGAGCAACTGTGTCATAAAAAGTCCAAGGTGAAAGAATGAGGACATAGAAACGTAAAGAGAGAAGACAACTCTGATTCCCAGGATGCATTTCAGTACGAAACAACGCTGACGTCGACCTGCCGTTAAACCTGGTTATTCTTTTGACTCCGTTCACTTTCAGATTCTTCATCATTTCAGCAACAAAATGCAGAGAATTGGGCTCAACTATAAGAACTTAATTTGTTTAGCTGAGGCTCATGGGTAGTGTAGTATTTAGAGCCATCCAGACCAACGAATGAAAAAACCATGACTTCATAATTATCACTGATGGTCATATCATAAACCTACAATATCGTTGAATAATCCAGAACATTCCCGTGTTCTTATCTTGAGAAACGTAGCGGTGCAGAGCTCTGTAAAAATAATTTTTGAATACGTTCATGTTGCAGCCACCAGTGTCACTGATGTTAAGTCCCTCAGAAGGGAAAATCAGGATTTGAACCTTCAACTATTGTTTCTGAATTCACCTGAAATAGACCCAGAATCTGATCGTGAATTCATTCCAGCTGCAGATTGTCTCATCAGTGTTCCACAAGGGGTTGGGCGATAGGACCAATATATCAGCGGCCATTTTTTTTTGGTGCTAATTTTAATTGTCTGCCTCTTCGAGAATTACGTTTTTGGAGACGTCGTTCAGAGAACAAGCGCTGCACCCAACATCGCTTGTTTTTTCAGAGAGCTCCGACCTTTTTTCGTGGCTTGTAGTTGAAAATCTTTGAACTTCTTCCAGAGAGGCGCCCGGTGTCGTCACCGTGGACGAAGCTCCACCGCTGCCTTCTTCTGTGGTTGCTGTCCGATTGATTGGTGCTGAAAAGCGACGTCGTTTTATGAGTCTTATTTGAGAACCAGAGCCAGAGCTGTGTGTTCAGCTGTGCTCGTTACGTCTTGTAGTGTCTGTACAGCTTATTGTTGAGCAAACATCTCGAGGTGATTTGTTTGCACACACTTTACTCCTGCAGGAATATATCGCTGATCACTGCTGGCTGGGCTGACGGAGGCCAGTCGGGGAAATTTAACATTTAACGAGTTCAGTGATTGGATGTTTCTGGAATACTTTAGTTTTTATATTATTTGTATTATTTCTTCGCAATGATGATTCATCCTGGAGAGTTGCTTTAGACTCAGTCACATGACGTCGTCTCTGAGACGCCTCTCAGTGTTGAGGAAAGCATCAAAAGAAGAAGTACAAATGGGAGTTCACTCCCCCGCATGGCTCCTCGCATGATATTTAACTGTCACGTTACACAGACAAACAAGGCCCGAATGTCAGGCAGCCTTTTCAAAAGGTGAACCAGAGTCCGTTTATCAAGTTGAAAGGTTTTCACCCACGATGACGAGTCCTAACTGATCCGGGCACTGAAAGTCTGCGTGATGAAGACCGCCGTCGTGTTTGAACCGTGTGAGCGAGCGAGTGAGCAGCGAGCTTTGAGCTACAGGAAACAGTGTGAGGAGGTTGCGGTTGTCAGTGGTGGTTTCCTCATCCATCTGCCGCTCCACCACGACCTCGCCAAGACACACACACACACACACACACACACACACTCGCCCCCCCTCTATTCCTTTCTCTCCTCACTGAGGACGTCTTTTTCTACAGTTGCCATTGGTTACCTGGCAATTTCTGTCCTTAATGTCAATTACCTCCAGCTTGTTTATCCTCTGTGGCAGACGTGGGGGATCGAAACCGAGACCTAAAAGTCGCCACCCCGCTGCCCACTTTCTCTGAGAGGAGGAGGAGGAGAAGAGGGAGTTTGTGTGTGTTTTCGGCGCTGGGGGGGGTGACCTTATAATTTGTCAGGAGAGCAGTTGTTGTTGTTTGCGGCGACTCGTCTCTTCATCACCGACCGCTCTGTCGTCATCCTGCACAGCCGTAATTTCCTCCTTTTCCAACATCGCCACATCATTTATCTGCTCGTTCTGTGTGTGTGTGTGTGTGTGTGTGTGTGTGTGTGTGTGTGTGTGAGAGAGAGAGAGAGAGAGAGGTGGAGGAAGAGGGGAGGGGGAGATATGTAGATAGGCAGAGAGATAAAGATGGGGAGGAAGGGAGGTGGAGGCAGCAGTGTGTGATGAGGTGGGAAAGGGGAGGCAGGAGGGGAGTCGGTTGCCCATGGAAACGACCCCGATATAATTTGAGAGAGAGAGAGAGAGAGAGAGAGAGAGAGAGAGAGAGAGAGAGAGGCGACAAGGTAAAAAAACAGGAGCAAGAGATGCGAGCGATGGAGAGATATGGAAGGTCTGCTTCCTCTCATCCTCCATGTCTCCTTCTTATCTCCTCATTCAGTTCAGAGTGAGCAGCTCTACAGTCAGCCTTTCTAATATCAATGCAAACAGTATTATTACTGCTCTGTATTGTTACCATAAATAGAACATTTCTTAAAGACCCAACTTTCACTTTTAGGGTAAATCTGCAGTTTGCTCGTTGCTCTAACACGCTTTAGTGGAAACTTGCAAGAATGCTGCGCTACAGGTCCCGCCCCCTAATCAGTGATGTCACCACAGGCGTTTCAGTGCAGCGTTCCAGACGAGTCAGAGGTTGGAATTTTACTCCGAGCGTTGCAGGTGATCGATGACAAAACGTCAACAAATTCAATGGCTGACCGTGAGAAATCAATGTTCAATGTTTGGCAGCTGCCACGTTTAAACAAGAAACGTCTGTGCAGAGAAGACGACTGTCAGAGACTGTTAACTGTAACCAGAAACATAATAACATGGCGACACAGCTCTCCTCCTCCCTCCGGAGCTCCGGATCTGGGTCTGTCCACGGTGGACCGGTCTCTGCTGGAGGATCTGGGTCTGTCCACGGTGGACCGGTCTCTGCTGGAGTCTGAGCTGAAGGACTTTCTGGTGAACCTGCATGAGTTCATCTGGTTTCACCAGAATCCGACCCGGTGGCTCCGATGATGAGCGTTAAGAATAACTCTATAGAAACAGACCATCTTCTCTCTGATGGTCTCTTTCCTGATGGAGGTCTGATAGAGGATCAGGACTACACTGAGACTGGTTCATAGAGGATCAGGACTACACTGAGACTGGTTCAGGACCAGGTAAAAGTTCCTCACAGTAACTTTAATTTACAAAATGCACTTCAATGGAAGTCGGGGTGGATGTCTACAAGTAAAACTTCATATTTGAGCAGGGCTTCATTGTACTTGTTCTATTTCATTTTGAGTTCTGAGTTGTCTCAACATTACGTCTGATGTAAAACTAGTCTGATGTCACTCGTGGGCGTGGCCTAAAGAGCAGCATGCTCGGAACCTTTTTAACACCTTCAGATGATTCCAGCATCCTGTCTGTTCACACACTCTTTATTTGCACTTTTTCTCTCCACGCCATATCAAACACCAGATCTCGCATCGCTACCTGAAGCTCTCTCCCACTCTCAAGTTTCTTAATCTCTGCGTCTCTCTGTGTGTGTCGTGGTGTTTGTGCAGTCCTGTGTGTTTTAATCCAAACCAAAGCCAAATCTCCCCGGATTGTAAATACCAGTTGGTTGCAGCAGGGAAGCGCCTCCGAAAGCCAAGCCGGGAGACAACAAGGGACCCGGTGCTTCAACAGCACTCCCAGTTCTGTTCTGCTTGTTCACAACTGAGGGGGCTTCGTGTGTGTGTGTGTGTGTGTGTGTGTGTGTGTGTGTGTGTGTGTGTGTGTGTGTGTGTGTGTGTGTGGAAAAAGAGAAATAACGTGTGACAGATGGAGAGTGTGGAAGAGAGAGCGGGAGAGAGTGTGTGACATAGAGAGCATGGAAAAGAGCATAACAGAGTGTGAAAACGACGAGGAGAATGAGTGTGACGGGAATGTGTGTGTGTGTGTGTGTGTGTGTGTGTGTGTGTGTGTGTGTGTGTGTGCAAAATACAGACGTCGCTTGAAAGAGAGCATGTTCATACGCTGTGTCTAGAAGCCTGTTTCCTAAAGCACAAAGTAGTTTCTTACAATCAATCCTGTGTATTGTGTCGTACTGCACCCATCAGCCTGAATGCATCACTATTACACAGATTTAAGGTGTTGAAATGCAAAAAAAATACAAAGCAGATCAACATTTAGGGAAATGTGCTTTTTTCGCTTCCTCTCTTTTTGACATTGAGATTGAGAGTTACTGAGTTTGACGACAAGACTTCAGGAAGTTATTTTTACTCTTTGGTTTTAAAGTTAGATAAAGTCAGATCTAGAGGCTGCTATGTAGATTTTCATGCCTCGCTGTTGCTGATATCAGTGGCTAGAGACCAGATGGATTATGTTTTTGGGTTGTCCGTCCCAGGAAGCCGATGCTTCGTGTTAAAGCTGCATTCTCTCTAGTGTCCACCAGGGGGTGACTCTTCTGGTTGTATAGAAGTCTATGAGAAAATGACTCTACTTCTCTCTTGAGTTATTTTCTATTGTTAAAGTGAAAAAACACATGTTGTCTGTACGTATGTGAACACATACAGACCAAAGACGATCGGGCTTGATGTGCTCTGAGACGCTTTAATCAAAGTCTCAGTTATGTATCATGACTGTTTTATGGTATTGTGGTCGTTTAACAACAGCAGCAGGAAGTTGTGTCACAGACGACACACGTGAGCGAGCCGGGCGTGTCTGTGTGAAGGGTTTATGTGCGGTTTAGGAAGTGAGCTTATGTGGTTCAGGTTTAGAAAGATGCTTCTCAGTCTGTATTTCCATTTGTTAATGAAAAGCTTTTACATAAATATGTGCAGTCCTTTGCATGCGAGTCTCTTGGCCCACAGCATCAAATATCTTTAGCAAAGGGCGGCTTCAAGATAAAGTTTTCTTAAATTTGAGGAAACAAACGTGTCAGAAGGGTGAAGTAATTCCTCTCGTCTCCAGTTCAGGTTCTCTTGTTATGAGAGTCAGTATTGTGAAACCTGACAGGATAAAGCAAAAGTCTGCACTAGAAAATGACATTTTCTCTTGTTTCGGGGATAAAATGTGGATTTCAAATGAGATTTCTTTGCAGTGTTTTGCATCATTGACTAGCTGATTCAATAATAAAACATCTACCGGCATCTTCTCCACCAGGTGACGTTCACCAAGCGGAAGTTCGGCCTGATGAAGAAGGCGTACGAGCTGAGCGTCCTGTGCGACTGCGAGATCGCCCTCATCATCTTCAACCACTCCAACAAGCTGTTCCAGTACGCCAGCACCGATATGGACAAGGTCCTGCTCAAGTACACCGAGTACAACGAGCCGCACGAGAGCCGGACCAACGCTGACATCATCGAGGTAAAGCGTGGGAGGGGTTTGATTAGCGAGGTCCACTTCACTGACCCCCTGTTACTGCTGGAATCAATACTTCTGAAGCATTTTCATTGATAGATTGTGTGGTTTTTTTCCGTGTGAAAGTTGGACAATCAGTTTGCTGTATTCTTAGTTGATGGTCTTTGTTGGTGCGTCTCTTGGTATTAAAACAAGTTTATAGTTTAAGTTAATCCTTAAGATCTGAACTAAAGTTAATCTAGTTTTAGTCCATTTAGTCCCGTTCTTTGCAGTCCAGTCTGACTGTGAGCTGTTGCATCGTGTCTGTGGTCCAGTTTTTACCAAAAATCATCTGTTGAAACTGATTTCCTCCTGAATTTTATGCCCAGAAGTTGTCGTGTTTCCTGCTGCAAAAAGACACCATAGTTACAACAAGGGACCTGAAAGCAGCGGTAGGCATCTTCAGTGATGTGCCTCCATTGGCATGCTGTAGCTTAACCAATGGCACACTAGCAATAAGTGTGCAAGAGAGTTTTTGGGGAATGTTGGAGTGCCCTCTCTTTGCTGTTTGTTATTGATGGTAGTGTGATTGATTTCCCCCCACCCACATACAGCGAAGCCCCGCCCTACTCTGTCTGTGATTGGCTAGTACGTGTTGCCTTCTTCGCAGAGTTTTAAAGTTTGTTGCCAATGAACAAGATTGATCGAAGGTTGTTAATGATTTCAACCCAGATGTGGATGTTTTCATATGCTGTCCTGATTACGGGAGAAAAATGTTTAAAAGAAATGTTGCCATGCACGTTGCCTTTATAGAAGAATAAGATTACATATTTGAAATTCTGACGTGGTGTCATAATTCAACTTAAAGTCACCCTTAATGTTGATATGTGACACTGATTAACAAGAACAATTAAGAATGGCCCCCACACATCATTCCTTCAAGGAATAGTTTGACATTTTGGGCAAATATGCTTATTTACTATCTTGGTGGGAGTGAGATGTGAAGATCCAATGCCACTCTCATGCCTGTCTCTTTAAATGTGAGGAGGTGGTTAGCTTAGCATTAAGATTGAAAATGCCTAGCTAGAGGTAAGAAATAAAAATCCACATGAGCTCTTAATCTGCTTCGTTTGTTCAGAACAGAGGTTTGGACGGAGCTCTGATCCAGGATTTATGCTAAGCTAAGCTGTAGCTCCATATTTAACAGACTGACATGTCAATATTTTCATCTAACCCTCGGCAAGGAAGCAAATAAGTGTTTAATCCAAACTTTTGGAGCTATTCAACGGGAAGAAAATGCAAATGTAGTCCGGTCCGGTCTGGTGCTGTAGAGTCCAGCCCATCCCCGTGTTGTTCATGGCTGCACTCTGGCTTACTGCCTGCTAGCTTGCAGGGAGGGCAGAGGTAGGGACAGCTGGGTCTCCCTCTTACCCCCCCCCCCCTTTACCCCTCTGGCATCGGCCCCGTTGTTACCCAGAGGCCTCTCCAGAAACCAAAATAACAACAACAACAGAAATGAGGGACCAATTGGAAACCACCTCGGCACAAAATGGCCACCAGATAGAAGGAGAGCAGCTGAAAAATTATTTCTTTATTTGCATATCGAGTAGAAGAGAGGTCAGCGATGAGGTCATTTAGTTTCGTCTCTGTAATCGGAGTACACTGGTTTTCCTAACGTCTCTCCTCCCTGTGGGGAAAGATCTTTGCTGGAGCTCGAACACGCAGCACATCTACATGCCTTGCTGACCCTTTTCTTCCATAATGGCCCTCTCATGAATTGAACACGAGATGGTGAGGCAGGATCCAGCGAGCCGTGCACACTGCAGCGCGGCACTCGGGCCTCAGAGTGGAGCGTCGACTTAAACCTGGATCTCGCTCCGCTTTATGTTTGTTTTTTCTCACTTGTTGTTCCTGCATAATCGCTGCAGGAGGTTCACGATCGGTCAAACTACAAACACCGTCAACATCAAGTCACTACCGCGGATTTATTGTCATGTGGAGAGCTCAGGTTAAAGTCATATTCCAACAAAACAAAAAAACACGCAGCACAGCAGAAAACCTGTCTCTAAAGTCAGATGGGCAGCTTGTGAATAGATTTAAGCAAATCAAATATTAATAAAGATATATTTAGGAATTACCCGGGAATTCCAGATTAAATAATATTGTCTAATTGGCCACATTATTTTGAAATGTAAATATTTCCACATCTGTAGACAGGATCACATTGCATTTAGTGATGTTGGGTAATAATCACATTTTTGATTTACAGCCTTTATGAACAAAGTGATACCTTCATGTGTCCCATGAGTGGTGCGCTTAGTCGTATCCTCGCACAACGGTTCATATATTTTATGAAAAGTTTTTTTTGTGCGTTTATAGTCTTTTCAAAATAAACTTATGGCTTCACAGGAAACTCAGTTAGGTTAGGTCACACAATTACTTAGGTTTAAGTCACAAAAATATTTAGTTAGGCAACAAAATGTTTTTAGTTAGGTTTAGGCAACAAAATGTTTTTAGTTAGGTTTAGGTAACAAAATGTTTTTAGTTAGGTTTAGGTAACAAAATGTTTTAGTTAGGTTTAGGTAACAAAATGTTTTTAGTTAGGTTTAGGCAACAAAATGTTTTTAGTTAGGTTTAGGCAACAAAACTTACTTAATGAGGTTTAAGAAAAGGTCGTTGTTTGGGTTAAAATAACTACGGAGCCGTAACTAATTACGAAAGTTACCTGACAAAAACATCGACTTTTTGTTTCATACGTGGAATGAACAGCGGTCTCCGGCTGAGAGATCCCGCCCACTCTGTGTGTGCTTTTCTGGTCTTTATACTTCCTCATCCATTTCCTGGTTACTGTATGGAATACTTATTTTTCCGTACCTGTGCTATGAATGCTGGATGAGAGCAGCCTGATTTTTTATTTTTTTATTTTCGGGCAGTTTTATCTAACGTGTTGTTGGAAGAAGCCCCGAGGCTTCAGAGATCTTTTGATTCATCTCATAAACCCCTGAGAGCCTCCTCCGACCTCTCACTGCTGCTTCAAGGCATCGTGCTTTTTCAAGCTGTCTGAAATCATCCACAAACATTTAAATCAATCGATAGCTAAACAGCTAATAATCCCAATAATTTACCTGCAGCTTTACCAGGAAGCTCTTTAGGAAATGAGGAGCCTTGTTTTTTAAAGAAATATTACCATATTTATCGAGACATAAAGCGTGAACAACTCAACGCACTGTTGAGAACAGAACCTTTCCTTCTGCATACACTTCAACCAGAGAAATCAGGGTCTAGATTTAGTTCCTGCCCTCCAAAACTAGTGCCCGTTCTCTTGGGGTGGTACTTTGCAACGACCCAGGGACTATTGTGACCGATTACTGTACTTTGTGTCTATCATGGCTCAAACATTCAGCTTTCACTCACACATAAAGCAATGGTCTCCAGAACTAACTCGCCTAATGGACTTTTAGTTCCTCGTTCCGAGGACTGTCTGGTCGAAAAACGGGCCTTAAGGTGTATAGTGGATGAAGTCTGAGAAGAACAGAGAAGTTCCTGTACATTTTAGTCCCAGGACTAGTTTTTATGGAAGTAAAAGTTATATAGCAATATTAGAGTACACGCTTGTTTCATAGGGCTGAAATCTTTGAGTAGAAGTGTTGGTGAAGCAGTTTTTGGATTTGAGTGGGTAGAAGGTAAGACAGGAAGCAGAGTATGGTGCCATGTCCCCCCTCCCCCCACTGTCACTTCCGCTCTTCCTTTCACCCTTACTTCCTCCCTTTCCTCCCTCCTAATCTCCCGATTCACTCGGTCACGGCCATTTCCTCCCTTCTTCTCTCACCCTCTGTCTGTCTGTCTCAGAGTGTCAGCAGTAAAGCCCTTTCTGTAGGCTGTATCTCCATCTGCAGATGGCTGTTAAGTGTGTGTGTGTGTGTGTGTGTGTGTGTGCGCGTGCACGTGTGCGGGCGGGCCGTGACGGGGCGTTGGACTGCTCCGGGCCACATCAGCTCAAGCTCCACTGGCCCTGTTTGTGTGCGTACATGTGTTTGTGTTTTCAAGTGTGTCACTCTTGTCTCTTTTTCTTTCTCTTTCTTTATGAGTGTGTGTGTGTGTGTGTGTGTGTGTGTGTGTGTGTGTGTGTGTGTGTGTGTGCGCACCTCTCTCTCTCTGTTAGCACGCTCTGCAGCAGCTCATGAGAACGCCTCATACAATATTCAGTCCTGGTTAGCCTCTCGGTCGTGTGTGTGTGTGTGTGTGTGTGTGTGTGTGTGTGTGTGTGTGTGTGTGTGTGTGTGTGTGTGTGTGTGTGTGTGTGTGTGTGTGTGTTCGTCCTACATGGAGCTTCCCTCCTATACCAGGGCTTGAATGCTGCCCCCCTCCTCCCACCTCCCCTCTGTAGTCCAGGAGGCATTCAGCATCTTTCCCCAGCGTTTGTCCTCAGCTGTCCCCTCTGCCAGCTGCAGCTCACGCCTCGTTGTTTCAGACGGTGTCGGCGCCGACCGTCTTCCGTTAATCCTGACCCGTTTTTCATTTGCGGCGGCATTTTGTGATCATAAAGGCTGGAAAAATTCCTCGAAAAAAAATTGCTGTACTACCCTGCAAATAGTTAGACTTAACAAATCTGTTAAGTCACTAAAATGTGAAATATTCAGCTCGGAAATAAAGAAGGAAATCCTGCAAACAGGAAATGTTCAACTACCTCAAGACTCTATTTGAAGGATGAGGATGGTGCTACTCTAAACGTTAAGAACTCTTATACAAACAGAGAAACAGTCGTACATTGGTCCGTCCCGCACTACTTGACCCATTGTTTCCTACTGATGATGTAAATCTTTAAAAACGTCTCACAAATATATCCCTTCACCTCGTTTAAAGGCTCAGCTTCCCACTGAGGTTTCTATTAAACGGATTCAAACAGGAGCGTTGGACTATTGTTGCATTGAAAAAGAGTGGCTGAGGAAGAAATGTATCCGAATGAATTAGTTGTCAACATTTTCTCAGCATGTTTATTTCGTAGCGAGTTTTCTTTTTTTCATGAA